GCGGGGAGGAACAAGCCGGCCACCCAGAAATCCCAGGGGATGGCTGAAGGGACCCTGGAGGAGAACCGCAGCGCGTGTCTGAGGGCCAGCCGCGCTGGGGAGCTCCAGCCGCTCCAGGGGAGGGCGGAGGACAGGAGGACAGGACGGGGCGCCGCCGACGAGGGAAACAAGCTCGGGTCCGGGCCGGAGCCCCCAGCACGCTGGCAGCCAGCGAGGGCTTCGGCCCGGTGACCACTCTGTCCGCACAGCAGCGCTGTGCACGCTGCAGCTGTCGACACTCGGGGTTTGTCTCGTCGTCCGCCAGCGGCCCAGGTAACACAGGAACGACGGATTTGGTAGCTACTGAGGAGGCACAATGAGCCAGACCCACAGCAATGGGATGTGGTCCTCTGGGGAGAACCCAGGATGCCGAGCTGGCAGGTAGCAACCAAGCAGATGACGTCCCCAAGCACCAGCGGGCGGAGGCTGAGAGTGCAGAGTGCAGGTGGGAGAAGCCCGGAGGCCCCTGCCCGGCACCCTCACCGGGGTGAGGCCGCTCAGAGCCAGGAGCAGGCTTGTTTTCTCGGGGTGGGGGTGAGAGGAGGGGTCCACAGTATTGTCTCCCATTATTTGCTCAGCCCTTCGCTGTGAGAAGGCTGTACCGCCCCCACCCTGCCCCTGGCCAGGGGACTTCCTGCTCCCTCTAGAGAAGGCGCAGCCACCCCCTCCCCCTGGAGGTGGGCTGGGCCAGGTGACCTGCTTTGGCCCACGGAACCTGAGCCCTTAGCTGAAGCTTGAAAAGACACAGTTTCTGCCACTCTCTGCCGTAAGAATAGCGTGATCCAAACAAGGGCTTGTTCTAGGTCCAGGAATGGACGCTCAGAAAGGAGCCACAGCAAAGGAAACGTGAGCAAGAAATGTTGTAAGCCACTGAAATGCAGGGGTGATTTGTTACCTTGGCCTCCCCAGAGAAAGCTGTCCAATAAACGCCCTGAATCGGGTTCCTTCCTTCTCCAACCCACCCTGCAGGTCCCTGCCAGTTAAAGTTCCCCCATTGTGTCAGGATTTCCCTGCTCACAGACCCGAGTGGCTCCCTGTTAGCGAGAGAACTACAATGTCAGGTCTGTAACCTGAATTCAAAGACATTCCCATTATAACCTTCCTTCCTCTTCCTCCTTACAGAACCTCTCATCCCAGCAACCACAGGGAGCCCAGCCTCTCACCTTTGCTCCCCAACCAAACACCTTCCTCGGTGGTGCTGCCCTGCCCGCCTCCTTCCCCCGCCCCTCCCACTGAGCAACGTTTCGCTCAAAGACTAACCCGCACTTGAAACCTTCCCTAACACCAGACTCCCCCCCCCCCCCCCCCGTCACTTCCCCTCCAAACTCCTAGAGTCTTTTGCTGTAAGTGGGCCACACAATAAATAGTTTAAGCTGTGTGGGCCATAGGGTCTCTGAAGCAAGTAGCAGGCTCTGCCAAAGCAGCCACAGGCAGTACAGAAACGGAGGGGGTGGCTGTGTTTCAATAAAACTTTATTTACAGACAGGCAAGGGGCCTGCCGGTGGCTGCAGCAGAGACTCTGGTCTGGAGCACTGATCGGAGGGCTCAGCGTCTTACCAGACTCCTTTTCAAGCTCCTTCCAGCAGCAGCATGCCACACGGTCGGCGCTACAACATACACACAACAACTGAACACGGGTCAGACGTGCAGCTAAAAGTACTGAACTAATAGTACTTAGGAAACATGAGAGAATATGGAAGACCATTCCTAATACTGAATAGCATGGTTTCCCCAAAGATTTCAAATGAATTAGGAAAAATCCACACCCAATGCTGAAGCAAGAAAACTTCCACCGGATAGAGCATAACAATGGCCAATACGCTCTTTTCACAACATACAAAGTGTGTCAGAGACCATGATGAGCGGGAGTTCAGCAGCGAGCCTGTGGCCGGGAGGAGGCAACTCCCATTACCAAAATGCTCAGACACACGATGGTAAAGTTCGTTTCCGTCACCATCACATTTTGGGGGGCCGAACGAGACGGAAGGCACTGCTGAGGAACTCAAGTTTCAGGGAAGTAGGAAGCCCTGCAAACTGTCAGTCCCAGAAAGGCCGAGACAGGGGCAGGGCAGAGCGGGAGTGAGCCAGGCCCCAGGCCCAGGTGGGGAGGTCCCTCTCAGCAGGTGGAACAGTGTGGCCAGAGGATGGGGTTCGGGTCACACATGACCTTGGGGAGCAGGGCAGAGCTGCCAGACAACATCAAGAACAAGTCCCAACGGCTGGCAGAAGGCAGAGAGAAGCAGGTACAGAAGGCAGCAGAGCAGGCCAATTAACTGAGGGTGTGGACTTTACTTCAGGGAGCAAGAAAAGTAACAGGAGAAGGAACCTGGAAGCAGGCGGGCAATGCAGCTCTTCTGCCAGAGGCGCCTGCCAGTCCCGGCGTGGCACACAGGCTGTGCACCCGCGCTGTGCTTCTGGGATCAGACACTCGCAAAGCCGCCTTTGAGAGGGGATGCGTTAAGACCCACAACGAATGACCCGGTGACCTCTGGTCCTGAAAGGGCACGGCAAACGGACTTTGCCAGTAAAAGTAGATTATCTCACAACGAGAATATATTATGCTGACTTTTTTTCGAATTGAACAAAGAACCCGGAAGCCTAACAGGAGACTTTATTTTTTGTTAAACTGTTCCAGGACAGTCCACCCCAGCACACACACAAAAAATAAGGCAGCAATGGACATTTTATTTTTGTATTTTAAAAAGCCTTTATTTATTTATTTTTAGAGAGAGGGGAAGGGAAGGAGCAAGAGAGGATGTGCAAGAGAAACATTGGTGTGCAAGAGAAACACTGATCAGCTGCCTTTTGCACGACCCCAAATGGGAACCTGGCCCACAACCCAGGCCTGTGCCCTGATCAGGAATGGAACCCGTGACCATTCACAGGCCGGCGCTCAGTGCCCTGAGCCACGCCCGCCGGGGCGGGACAGACATTTTAAAATCTAGAGGTATTTTAAAGTTTGCCCAACAAAGCTGTTTCGTTACCATTTGTTCTGAACATTAAACATTCTCACCTTAAACCATACAAATGTCAAAAGACTAAACTTAAAGTGGGTTTCCCCCCAGTCTTAGCATCACACGGATAAAGGAGACGGGATGGAGCCGCGCGGGTGTCTCGGATCCTTCCCGAGACCCGAGAACCAGAACCGGCCTTGGGAAACATGGGGCAGGCTCCCCGAGGTTAAGGCTAATTTCTTCCCACAGTTCAGCCAGACAGAACGTCACAGCACTGGTAAACCCAGGTTCTCCCTTTCTGTTGCTTCTGTCCTTGTTGTGACTTAGTTTGTTGAAAAGCCATCTTTCCTATTACAAGCGTAACACTGTGAAGTGTCACAACTATGGCTGGGGTAGCTTCCCTCAAACACAGCATTACCCAAGCCCGGCTCTAAATTTCATTTCGGTCAACGACAGTCCTATCAATTTCCCGGGGCCGTAAGAACTAGTGTATTCCGGTGGCTCACTAGGCGCTTTCTTTTTCTGAGAATATATTTAGGCAGTTCTATACAATAATTTATCCAAGTACATGAGATTTGACCCTCGTGTACCTTCACGACTTGTTTCTCCAAATACGGCCCCACCTTGCCCGTCTAAGAACCACAAGCCACAGGTTTGATGCTGCGGGGCCACAGCAAAGACACCTGGAGGCCACACCTTGGCAGTGACAACACCCTGGAATTTTCAAACGCTTACAATGCGCCGGGCGCAAAGCGTTTTACAGCCTCTCGGATTCGCTGAGGCCTCAGCACCATCCCAGGAGGCCGGTCGGACTGGCGCTCCCATTTCCCAGATGAGGAACCGCGGGCACTCAGTGCGGAGGCAGTAAACCGGAGAGTCACGGCCCCGAGGCGGGCAGGCCGGCTCCGGGGCCACCCGCCCCTCCACGCCGCCCCAGCCTCCCGGCAGGACAGCTGACCAGACGGCTGCAGGCGGGGCCGGCCGGCGGCCTGTGCTCACTCACTGAGCCAGCGTCTGCGGGTCACCGGGGCGGCCAGCGCGCTTTACGGAACGAGTCGCCTTGCTTCGCAGTCACACCTCCTATCAAGTCTCCGTCCCCTTCCCCCAGCGAGGAGACACACACCTCGCTCATTGTGAATGGGGAGCCGCCGGCCGGGAACCACCTGCTGTTTGCAGAGGCGCCCAGGACCTACAGGGTTCCGTTCCCCTCACTGGCTTCAAAGACAAATCTCCTATTGTCTGCCCGGGGGAGGAACACGAGCCCTGCAACCGTAGGTTTCTGCAGAGGTCACAGGAGGTTCGGTTAAACCACGCGACACTGAAGGGCTGGGGGGTGGGGCGCCGCATTTTCGCTGGTGGAGGCTGCGCAGCGCCCGCAGCAGCTGTGGTGGGAGCCGCGCGTTACACGCCCACAGCTGCCGCGGCCTCGCAGCCGGCCGCTCGCTTCAGATGAAAGACGTCCTGACCCCCAGGACCACGGCCTGCCTCGCACGCGGCCCTCGGCACGGAATGCCCTCCGCCCACCCCGCTCCTGCACCGAGAAGCACCCGGGCCGGAGGGATCCCGCTCCGGAGGGCGGCCAGGAGGGAGGCGGGGCGCCCCAGCCCGCCCTGCTGCAAAGGCCGGGTCCGTGGGGCCCCGCGGCCACGGCCGGCACCCGCGCGTTCGCCGACCCGGACAAAGCCGGGCGGCCCCGCGCCCGCCCCGACGGCACCCCGGAAACCGCGCCGACGCCCCGAGCTCAGGCCCTGCAGTGCACTCACGCCCACCCTCCGGCCGGGCACACTCACGCCCACTCGCGCCTACCTCACACCCTGTCCCGCGTGACCCGAGACCCTCGCCTCCCGCGCGCCCCTGCCCCCGCCCGGCCTCTCCCGCGCCCGGCCGCGGTCCCACCCGTCCCTTCGGTCGCCGCGGGCCCAGATCCTCGCGCGGTCGGGCGGGGGCCGCAGCGCCGGCCTCTCCGCCATCTTCCCGGCCCGCACCGCCCACCGCCCGCGCTCTCACCAGCCGGCTGCGCGCGAGCGGCGCCGCCACAGACCCTCATCCCGGCTCGCATGCAGCGAGGGAGCTGCCCGCGGCTCTCCCGTCGCCGCCGCCGCCCGGTCCGCGTCTTCCTTCGCCGCCGCCGCCACCGGCCCAGTGAGCCGCGGCCGCGCGTCCTCCCGTCACCAGCGCAACCCCCCGCCTCCGGCCCCGCCCCCATGCTGCCCCGCGCCCGCCGCCAGGGGGCGCCGCCTCAGGTCCCGTGCGCGTGCGCCGGCGCGCGGTTTGCCGGGAGCTGGAGCGCGGGCGGGCTCGTTCCGCCCGCAAGGCCCGCGCCCGTGGAGGGTGCGGGTCCGAACGCGACCCTCACCGTTTTAGGTCGTGAGGCTGGCCGCTTCGTTCTCTGCTTTCCCGTCGAACCGTCTCACGGGGAATTCCAGCGGCCGGAGCAGTGAGCGGGCCAGCCGCCGGGGTCGCGGGGAGAGGGGCAGGATGGACGTCCAGGCGGCTGTTCCCGCATTTGCCTGCGGAGAACAGCCAGGCGCCATCGGACCTGCGCTTCGGTCACGCGTCAACTTCCCCGACCTGGCCCCCATCCCTCCCCTGGGGCCAAGCCTTCTTCCTCAGGGACTGCGCCTGTCCCAAAGCCGGCCCTCACCTTCCGCGCCCCTCTTGGTACCCAGTGTAGGTTCTTTTCCTAAACGCGTTCATCCCCGTCCCCACTTCGGGTGTAAGAGCCTGTCGACTCCAGGACGGCTGCACCTGGTTCTCCACCTGGCGCTGCTGGAGGGGGCGGGGCGCCGAGGAAGGGGTTTAGACTCCCGCCCCAGGATTCGGTCTCCTTTTTCTAGCTAGAAATGACCCAATAAACCCTTTCTTTTAAAAAGGCTTTCAGCAGTGGAAGTTAAATTTTTTGTTTTACACCTGTAATCTGTTAATGTGGACAGTCTGTATCCTCCATGCCTATCATTTTCTGTTTTCTTGCTTTGTCATCTTAACTCTTGGTAATTGCTCACCTTCGTCTCCACTAGTGCTCTCTTCAGCACTTTCTAATCTGCATTTCGCCTGTTCAAGCCTTTTAACATTATTACTTATGTCCACTTCCAGAATGTGTACTTGACTTCCAGTTCTAGGGAAATGGAACCTGAGCAGCACACAACAGAAGCCCATAGCACTCAACCTGCGGCCACACCCTAGATCCTGGCGTCACAGGAGATTGCAAAGGCCTAAAAGCTCAATTTCAAAAGCCCTGGGTTGAGTTCCCCATCCTGCCCTGCAGCTCACCCGCCCCTTCCCTGTGGCCTGGCCTCACTTGCAGGCACAGGGACAGGTGGTCGCTGCGCTCGGCTCCAGCTGCCTCTCCATCGCACCCACTTGAGAAAAGCACGAGTAGGGGAAGGCAACCACTGTCCATCGTGGTTGCAGGAACCTCACAGCCGCGCGGGCTGGCTCCTCTGTAAAGGGTAAAAGGAACATTTCAGGGCAGTCTTGTGATTTTCTCCAGGAGGGGAAATCTCCCACTCTCCAAAGTGAGCATCAGAATTTCTCAGGCCTCTCCTGTTGAGCCTCCCAGCTGAAACCAAAACTCAAAAGGCCCAGCCACCTCCACCCTCGCCCCTTCACCGACCCTCCTGAAAACGCACTCGCCATGTTCTCTGGATCCTAAGGCAGTCCCTCGGGTGGAACACCCTCCCTCTACCGTTGTCAAAGACTGTGCTCAGCCACCTCCTCTCCTGAGTCACCTCTCTCTCCTGCCTGCAATACTGCTCACACAAGACACAAGCACAAGATGTGGGCCTTTCCAGGGGAACATCACTCTGGGGCCCTCCAGGAGCTTACAAGCAAACACAGTTGTAATTCATCAACAAAACACAAAAACATACCATGCCAGTGCCCCATACTGATGCACTGCCTTCCGCTGGCAAAGTGTTTTCATGAGTTTTTCTTTCTTCCACGTTCTTTTCCTCCCTCACTTCCTCCCCAAACATGTCAGAAGCACTTATCTGTGTCATGTGCTGGAGATAAAACACCGCCTAAGACAGAACTCCGACAGCAAAGAGCTCCAGGTGTAACGTAGGAGTACCGGGTAGAAAGTGAGCTACAGCATGAGCTGTGAGGTGGTGTGGATGTGAAGGCTGTGCTGGGAGGCACAAGGGTAGGAGACTGACTTTTTCTCTATTCAAATCACAATCAATAGGGAAATTAAGATGGAAATAATGGATACTATGGTGTCCCAACCAAGATGGTTAGAATAAAAAAACTGGTGAGGATTTAAGTCAACCAAAATCATAGGTTGCCAGTGGGGATGTATAAAAGTCTTGCAGCTCCTTAAAAAGCTAAACAGAGCTTACTGTGTAGCCCCACATCCCAATCCTCCCTGTGACCCAAGAGAATGGAGAAATCACATCCACAGAATGGCCTGTCATAAATGCTTACAGCAGCTTTATTCATACTTGCCCCAGATGGAGCAACCCAAATACCCTTCAGTGGGGAACAGATAAACAAACTGCCACATCCGTACAATGGATGCCACTGTGCAGTAAAAAGGGAGGAACTATTGGCACACGCAATATCACGATGAATCTCCAATACGTTAAATGAGAGATGCCACATTCAAAAAGCGACGGATTCCGAAAACATGAAACGTCTGTGAATCGTCCAATGAAGTACAAGGTTCGTGCTGCGGCTGAAGGCTCTGCCGTGTCCGTCGTACACAGAGCGCTTCTCTCCGGAGTGCGTCTGTCTTTGGGACCTGTGACTGGAGCCAGGAGCAAAGGCTGGACCACACTTTCTGTATGTACGGGGGTTCCCAGTATGGACCCTCTGATGCTGCGTGAGGGTTGACCTCCGGCTGAAGGCTTTCCCACAATCGCCACATTCGTAGGGTTTCTCTCCAGTATGAACTCTTCGATGCAGGGCCAGTTGTGAGCTCTGACTGAAGGCTTTCCCACATTCCATGCACTGATAGGGTTTCTCCCCAGTGTGAACTCTTCGATGCTGAACAAGAGTTGAACTCCGGCTAAAGGCTTTACCGCACTCGTTGCAAGTATAGGGCTTCTCGCCTGTGTGGATCCTTACATGTTCAGTGAGGTGAGAGTTAAAACCGAAGGCTTTGCCGCACTCATTACAAACATAGGGCTTCTCTCCAGTGTGCACCCTGTGATGGAGGAAAAGGCTTGAGCTCTGACTGAAGGCCTTCCCGCACTGGTCACACACATGGGGCTTCTCTCCAGTGTGGATCCTCTCATGCTGAATAAGGCTTGAACTTCGACTGAAGGCCTTCCCACACTGATCACATTCGTACGGTCTCTCGCCAGTGTGGATTCTCTGATGCTGTGTTAACTGTGGGCTCTGGCTGAAGCCTTTGCCACACTCATTACACTTGTATGGTTTCTCTCCTGTGTGAATGATACGATGTTGAATAAGAGTTGAGCTTCGACTGAAGGCCTTCCCACATTCACCACACCTGAAAGGTTTTTCTCCGGTATGAAGTCTCTGATGGAGAACTAGGTGGGAATTGAGACGAAAAGTCTTCCCACAATCATTACATTTAAATGGTTTACTTCCAGTATGAACCTGATGGTGCAGAATAAGGCCTGAGCTGAGAGCAAAGCCTCTCCCACACTGAACGCATTTATAAGGTTTTTCCCCACTGTGACTTCTCTGATGTCTACGTAGGTCTGAATTGTATCTGAAGGTTTTGCTGCATGTATCACATGTAAAGGCTTTCTCTCCTGTTTTATTTCTTTGATATCTAACAGCATTTTGGTTCAAATTCAAGTTTCTATCAAACACACCACACTCCTGGATTGCTTCTCCCAGAGGTCTTTCCCTGCATGTGGCAGTTTCGTTCCAAAAAACTCTGCTGTGAAGATGGAGTTTATTCAAACTCTGCTCAGAGTCCCCCAGGTGTCCCCCTACTTTACCCTCACAGTCCCAGGCTTCCTGCAACTGAGGTGCCTGTGGGTTATACCCCAAGCATCTTCTGGATATCAGCTCTGGGGTTTTTACTTCTTCAGAGCATTTCTGGTTTACAATGGGTGGTTCCTTCCCGGTCCCAATCTCAAAACCTGTTACATAAAAGCAAAAAGGCATTATTGGAGAAAATCATCCATTACAGATGATATCTATAATGTCTCAAGTGCTCCCATAAAGCTTTATGTAAAAGGTAAATATACATGACAGGCAGAATACAGAGGTAAAGATAGCCAATCTATAGGCTAAAAATAGTTAAGATCATCAGTAATCAAGGAAATGAAAATTAAATTATAATTTTTCACCCATTAAAATGGGAAATTAATCCATTCAGAAAATATTCAGAAGGCCAGGTAAGTGCTAGGAAAGGAATGTAACAGGAAGGCAAATACAGTTTTTGACCTTAGGAAGCTTACATTCTATTCAGGCAGATAGATAATTAAGCTAGTAAATTTTTAAGAGGGAGGATAAACCATGTGATAGGGAAGCTGTAAGACACGTGGGAAATAGGTCATGGCCTCTGAGGTGGCTTACGTGGTCAGAGACGACCTCTGGGAGAATGTGAGGTTCCACTAAAACCTGAGGATGACACAGTTAGCAATGGCAAATGAGGGCCTAGGTACGAGGTGTCAGAGTTCCATGAAGTTCAAGAAGCTTGGAGGGTAAAGGGATCAAGCAAAGAAGGGGAAAAAAAGAGGAAAAAACTCATGGACATACACAACAGCTTGGTAATTGTGGGGGTGGAGGTAGAAGTGGGTATAGGGGGAATAAATGGTATTGGAAAAAATAAATAAAAATTATAATAATAATGAAAAGAAGAATCTCATTGAGCCTACAGCAAGAAACATGAGGAGCAGAGAGTAGCAAGACAGGACAGATGCCCTGGCCCACGCGGCTCAGTGGGTTGGGCATCATCCCGCAAATCCAAAGGTCATGGGCTCTATTCCTGGTCAGGACACATGCCTGGGTTGTGGGTTCGGTCCCCCTCTGGAGCACATGCAGGAGGCAGCCGACTGATGTTTCTCGCATCAATGATTCTCTCCCTCTCTTTCTTCTTCCTTTCCCCTCTCTCTGGAATCAATAAGAGAAAAAAAAGGAAAGATGGGAGAGGGAACGGTTATGGTGCAACAAGCTCACGGCCCTTAGACTTCATTATAAATACTTAAAAAAGTATGGTACCCAGTGTTGATGAGAACTGAAGAAACAATTTGTCTTTTACTACTGGTGGAATTGTACATTAATATGACTTTTTAAAAGGGAAAGTTGGAAATACATAGCAAAGAACTGGTACATTACATATACCAATTAAGACCACTTCTTTTTGTTTGATGTCGGTACTCTGGGGTTAATATTTGGTGTCAGAATGACTGTCTATGACTAAAGTTACCCCAGCCACAGTGAGTAGAAGGATGTTCACATATTGGAACTGTCCTGCCAAATGATGTTTGCCCCTATTGTGCTCTGTTTTAATCTGGAGTTGGGAAAATAAGTGCTTGCTTGGTGCACCTATTTGTTTCAAATAAAAACATTTAGACAAAAAAAAGTAGAATCTGCAGACATTTCGTGATTATTTCTGGTATTACACTTTTCATCGTTCATAAGCTGATGGCCATTTATGAAACATACCAGGAGTCAGAGGAAATCACCACGACCCAGCTAGAAGAATTATCAGGGTGTTTCATTAACAAGAATCAAAGTAATACCTTAGTAAAGGAGAAACCGGAAGACACCACCTCAGTATGATCTTATAATAAACTTGGACATCTTTGGGCCTTTGAGCCTTTTAAAGTCTCTTGAGCACTTTTAAATAGAAATAAATTCTGGCTTAAAAAATAATTCCCTCATTTGCTTAGCAACAGATACCCCTCCTTCTAAATACGTAAAAAATGAAGGTAAAACTGTCACTATTTGCAGATGACATGGTTTCATATGTAGAAAACTCTAAGGACTACACCAAAAAAAAAAAAAAAAAGAAAAAGAAAGAAAGAAAAGAAAAGACTATTAGAACTAATAAACAAACACAATAAAGTTGCAGGGTACAAAATCAATACATACAGAAATCTTCATTTCTATGCACTAACAATGAACTATCAGAAGAAAAAATAAAGGAAACAATCCCATTTACAATCATAGCAAAAAGAATACAATACCTAGGAATAAACTTAACAAAGAAGGTGGAAGACCTATACATTAAAACTGTAAAACATTATTAAAAGAAACTGAAGACACAAAAATAGATATTGCATATTCACGTATTAGAAGATTTACATAGCTAAAGTGTTCATCCTGCCTAAAGCAATCTACAGATTCAGTGCATTCCTTATCAAAATCCTAATGGCAGTTTTCACAAACTAGAAAAACATAACCCTAAAATTTATGTGGAACCACAAAAAACTCCGAATAGCCAAAGCAATCTTGAGGGAAGAACAAAGAACTATCACACTCCCTGTGCAAAACTACAGTACTCAAAACAATATGGTACTAGGAAAAAAAAATATACCAACCAGTGGAACAGAATAGAGAGCCCCGAAATAAACCCACACCTACGTGGGCAACTAATTTTCAACAAAGAAGCCAGGACCATACAATGGAGAAAAAAAGTCTCTTCTATAAATGGTGTTGGGAAACTGGAAAGCCACATGCAAAAGAATGAAACCATACCCTCATCTTACATTATGTACAAAAACTAACTTAAAGTTGAACAAAGCTTGAATATAAGACCTGAAACAATAAAATACATAAAAGAAAACATAGGCACTTAGTTTCTGGACCTTGGTCTCAGTGGAGTTTTTGCGAACTTGACCCAAAAGACAAGGGAAAAAAGAACAAAAATAACCATCGAACTACGAAACATTAGAAAAGCTTCTATAAGGAAAAAAAAAATTCTACTGTGACATGTTCTCAACTCCACGTGGACAGAACTGCTTGCCACTGTGTAAGTGACCTCCCTCACTGCCCTGGCATTATGACAGACCAGAAAAAGCTCGGGTTCATACATCACCAGAGTCTGCCAAAATGAGCCAACATATAACCCAGAAAACAAAGAGATAAATCAAGAGACAGAGCTTGGGAGCACCTGGCTGTCAGGACCATCAGGACAGTCACCTGGGCGGCAGCGCAGCAGGGATGGCGCTCTGCTGCCTCCAAGGGGTCAGCCGTGGCAGGACAGCACGTGGAAAATGACAAATCACTACAGAGCCTGGCAGCCCAGACCCCCCCACCCCAAGGATGCTGTCACTGCAACCGCAGTGTCATGGCAACCACAGCCTGACACGCGTCTGTACATGCAGGCAGGCTGCTGGGGCCCGAACAGCAAGATCAGAACAAGGGGTGCCTTCAGCCTCGGACCCCGGGAAACATGCCGTCCCTCATCCGGCGCTCCCTATGTTCCGCCTGGGCACCCCATCCCTCTACATGCAAAAACCCCACAGAAACAAAACCTCTTCCCGTCCAACTGAAGGGCCTAGGCACCGGGCCACTCTGTGGGGGCTGCCCCGTCAGAAGTGCCACGGCCCCCACCCCGTCTCCTGCGCAGCCTACTCTCCCACCGCTCCAGACAGGGCTTCAGCTTCCTAAACAAGGACTCTCCTTACGAGTGCTGTGGGGAGCCCCTGATGTCAGAGCTCACCTGAGACGCTCCACATGACGACTGGATGGAAGAGCTGAACGCCACACTGGGCGTTCTGTTCAAAACGTGGCACTAACTATACACAGCAGCCTAATCACGTTACAAGTTTAGAAGAGCCTAATCAACACATTAGTCAAAATAACCACGAAACAGTGACAATTAGAACCACCGTTCTTTAAAATTATTCAGCTCTTAATTTATCTCTAGCCAAAAACGGCATATAGGTCCTCAATGACATGTATTACACACCCAGAGAACCTTCTGGGTTATAGAGATGTTCTGTATCTTGATAGCAGTTTGGCTGGCACAGTTGTGTCTCTTTATTAAAACTAAGCAACTTGCCTTGGCCGGGTGGCTCTGTCGGCTGGGGCATCATCCTGTACACCAAAAGGCTACGAGTCTGATTCCCCAATTGGGGTGCATGTGCGGGAGGCAACCAATTAATGTTTCTCTCTCTCTCTTGCTCTTTCTCCCTTCCTCTCTCTAAAATCAATAAGCACGTCCTTGGGTAGGAATTAAAAAATAAAAATTAAAAACCTCAGCAATTTTATGCTACTAAAGGTTGCACTCCATCCAGCCAGGAGATGCTGGAGAAAATTTTGGAGAAAGGATGGGGGTGAACCATTAATAGTTAATTACAGGTCTAGGGCGCGCTAAGAAAGGTGGAGATACGAGTGACCATGTGTTGTGTGCTTTGTCATTTGACCAAAAACGGGAGGATAACTGGGAGAGAAAGGTGGAAACCAGAATACGTCACAGGTTGTTTCAGTGGCTGGGAGTCAGAAATGCTGCTTGGAGTTGACAAATCAACTAATAAAAGTATGTTCAATGGAACAAGGCAAACACTTAAAAATACTACTAAGGCTGGGAGATGCAGGGAAAAAAGGATAGAAGATTATGAAATATGTGAACGTGACAGATAACCAATAGCTACTGTGTAAAAGAGGGTAGGAAGGGTATGATATAAAAGAAGGAATAGGGCTGTTACGTGACTTTTGCATAGAGATAATTACTAAGTGCAAAATTCCCTAATGACCAGAAAAACTGTGTATTTTTAAAAGCAAACAAATCCCTAAAATCAGAACGGGTAAAGCAGGCACACATGCCTGCACAACAGGAGTCTCTGTTCCTGTCCCGAAGTGCCCCCAGGAGCCCAGGGAAGTGCGCCCCATCGCCTCATCAGCCCCAGCCCATTCTCACCTGTGCTGCGGCTGCTCAAGGGCTCCGCTTCCTCGGCTCCTATAAGACCCAGGACCCACAGCTCTTCACCTTGCTCCAGCTGGGAGATCAGCTCCGGCTTAGGGACAGGGAGTCCTGTTGAGGGGAGGGCCCTGGGTGAGCTAATGTGGCCAAAGGGGCTGGAGCAGAACACCGCCCACTGGGTTTTCCAGGACAGGGAAGAAGTGTAGTTTCTCAGAAGACTTCCCCCACCACATCCCTTCTCCAGGAGGTGGGAGTGGAACGGGGGGCACAAAGTGTGTGCGTGTTGGGGCTGTGGAAGGGGTTGGTCGGGGGAGCAGGGGCTGTGAGCACCGGAGGTGAGTAACTCGTCAGTTCTCCCGCCCCGGGGGGCACCCCGGTGGGTGCGGGCATTCCAAACACGTTCTGGAAGAGGGGCCAGGCAGAGACCAGAGTGGTACTTGGGGACATGCGGTAGGAACCTTCTCTTGGTTCGGAAACAGCCCCCGAGCTCCCTAAATGCCCCCACCGAGAGCCCAGGGAGAGCCGCACCCAGCGAGGCCACATGCCCGTAGTTCTCCAGCATCACGTCCCTGTACAGCGCCCGCTGGTCCGGGCCCAGCTGCTGACCCTCCTCGTGAGAGAAGTACACAGCCACGTCCTGGAAAGTCAGTGGCACCGTCTCCTGGAACGACAAGTGGCCGCTGCCCCGAGGCTGCGCCCACTGGGCAGATGTGTTTCACTCAGCCCGAGGACAAGCCTCCCTCTTGGGCCAGGGGGACCTGACTGAGCCCCCAGAGTCCGTCTCCCTGGGGAGAGCCTGAGTCGAGCCCCAGAGCCCTGTCCTTGGGTGCCAGGACACCTCGCTTCTGCACGAGCTGGGCTCACCGCCTCAGAGGACGGAGGGCAGGGAGGAAGGTGAACTCACCTGGGGCGCTGGAAGCCCAAGTGCCGCTGCCATCCTGGGGGAGCAGGATCTGAAGAAAGACTCAGGGCCTGAGCGCGGCTGCCACGGCCTGGGCCCCCCAGCTCACCCTTGGAAGAAGGGGGCCCACACTCAGGCCACTCAGTATCATTAAGTCACTCCATTAACGTCCAGGACCCGAGGGGTGTGAGGGGTGGGCAAGTGAGTGGCATTCATTGGTTCCTGCAGTGGCCTCTGGGGCCAAAAGTACAGCCCCTTACAGAAGTTGCGGGGCAGGGGCAGGTCACTCTGCAGCAGGCCCAGTGCGTGCCCAACTGCCCCGTGACACTTAAAGTCCCTGGAACTGGCAGAGCCAGAGTCAGGTGGGGCGGGAGCTGCGGGTTGAAAGCTGGCAGCTCCAGGGTCCAGCGTCCGGACCCAGTTGCTGGAGAGCCCCACCTCACACCGGCTGAGCAGCCCCCACCCGCAGGGCGGGCGAGCGGACTGCGCGGAGGCGGGCGGGGCTGAGCTACCGCGGGCCCTGCCCGGAGCCTGCCACCCTTCCCACTCCTTCGTCCCCAGCCCCCTGGGTCGCCTCCTGTATCCTCGCCGCCCCCCAGGCCCAGCTGTGGTCCTCATTCTCCCAATACCGCCCCTGCGGCCTCCTCCCGGCCCGCGAGCTGCGGCCACCCAAGGCTGCGGACACCACCCGTCGCGTCTCCCGAGCGCCCAAGCCGGTCGAGGCTGACCTTCCGCCCGGCAGTCTCCCCTTACACCTCCGCGCGCCCCCCCTGCCCCGTCGCGACCTCGGCCGAAACCTCCCGACGCTCCACCGGGCCCGCCCACGCCTCCCACCGAATCCACCCCTACGGCCGGACCTCCCACGGTCGGCAACCGGCCCCCGCGGCACCCGCGGCTCCCGCTAGCCGCACGCAGACGGTCCGGGACCCGAGGCCAGCGCGCAGGGGGGCTGCACACCTGAGCGGAGCGGGCCGCCAGGCGGGGGCGGGGCCACACGGAAGAGGCGGGACCGCGCTGCGTGGAGTAGGGCGCTCCCTTCGGCGTCTCGCCCTCAGAGCCCGAGGGAGCCGGAAACAGCAATGCCGCCCCCCCCGCACTTCCGGGGCTGCTCTAGGACCACAGAGGGCTCCCGCCGTCAGTGGTCGGCCGGGGAGAGGTGCCCTGGAGAAGGGGCCTGGTGGGCGGTGGCCGAGGCCCAACCTGGGACGAGGCCTCGAGCCCACGCCCCGCCCCAGGCCCCGCGTTGCTGTTTGAGCGTAGTTGGACCCACCTCACGCCCCTCTCTGTCCCCGGGCCAAACCTGCACAACCCTGTCTTTGTTTCCTTTTCTCTCTGTGGTAAAGAAAATACCCTGTGGGGGAATCCGCTCGGGCCCGCAGACCACAGAGGGCCCAGTCCTCCCAGTGTCCTAGAGCTTCCCGGAAGTGTTTGTTGCCTCCGGGCCAGGCCTCGCTTCCGGCTGCCCCTTTGCTCAGGCCTCTCCGCTCCAGAGCGCGCGTTGCAGGTGGGGGCCGCTTGGGGCTTGGGGACGTGGTGGGTGCGGTCGGGAAGGGGAGCAGGTGAGCTGGACGCAGCCCCTTGGTCACCGCGTCTGGGGGCTCTGGAGGCCGGAAGCCTGTTGGCGACAACGCGCCGGCCCGCGCAGCTTGGGCTGGGGCTGCGGGGCGCTGGCCGCGACTGTGTGCACGTCAGGTGTCCAGGGCGCCGCGGCGAGGTCAGGGCAGGACTCGAAGCGGGCCCGCCTCTGTCACGTCCTTCCTTCGGACCGGGGGCTGCCCTCCTCCTTCCTGGTTCTGCCCTCCCTCTCCTGCCTCCCCTGCCAACTCCTGCTTCCCCTCTTGCCGGGACCCCAGCTCCCACGGCGTCTCCCATCACGTGGGCTGCCATCAGTGGTTTACACTTTCAGTGTCTTCAAGGTGGAAACCAGTCAGTCACTGGCCCAAAGGACGTGGAAAGTCACTGGGCTTCTCTCCACTCCAGGCAATTGCAGTGGGACCTGGCTCTGGGCTGACCGGTCAAAAAGGAGAAAGTAGCAATGTCTGCTGTGGGGGCTGCAGCTCCATACCTGCATCACCCTGGTGACAGTCACAGCGGCCAGGTGAGTTTCCTGGGGGCCCAGCCCCCCCCAGAGGTGGCAGCGATGCCCCGGCTCTTGGGGGACCTGGACAGGGGCACATTCAGGAAGTTGCTGAAGCTGGTGGTCAGCGGCCTGCAGGGGGAAGACTGCCGTGAGGCTGTGCAGCGCCTCGGGGCTGGTGCACACCTGTCGGAGGAGCGGCTGGGCGCCCTGCTTGCTGGCACCCACACGCTGCTCCAGCAGGCCCTCCGGCTGCCCCCAGCCAGCCTGAAGCCTGACGCTTTCAAGGACCAGCTCCAGGAGCTCTCCATCCCGCCAGACCTGGTCGTGGACTTGGCCAGTGTGGTATTTGGGAGCCAGCGGCCTCTCCTTGACTCTGTGGCCAGGCTGCAAGGGGCCTGGCTGCCCCATGTTGCCTCCTTTCGTTGGAGGGTAGATGTGGCGATCTCCACCAGTGCCCTGGCCCGCTCCTTGCAGCCAAGCATCCTGATGCAGCTGACGCTTTCGGATGGGTCAGCACACCGCTTTGAAGTCCCCACAGCCAAGTTCCAGGAGCTGCGGTATAGCGTGGCCCTGATGCTGAAGGAGACGGCCGACCTGGAGAAGAGGTGCGAGCACAAGCTACAGGACTGACCTGCGCTCCCACTCGCTCCGGTCGCCTGGGGCCGGCCGCTCGGACATCTCCAGAGCGAAGCCCACTCTGCCCAGGAGGCCCTCTTCAGAGAGAGAGTGGAACTGCGGCCATGCCATTCTGTTCGATGAAAAAAGACAGCAGTTTTTCTCCTTCATTTGGAAGTAGAGCAACTATAAAATCCTATCTTCCCAGCTGGTGTCACCCTGCACACCTCTCCCCTGGCCATTGGTGTTGTTGCTGGGTGAGGGTGTCCACTGCTCCGGGGCGGCCACGTGGTCTGGTCAGTCTGGGGTCCAAGCCAATGCCTTGGTGCAGATGCCGAGTTCCTCTCCATGCGGCATCTGACCGCGCTGCTCATTTGCTTCTGTGAACCGTGTGTTTCAGTGTGGACACATCTTCTATCTGAAATCCTTGACCTCATGGAGCCCACATTGTAGTGGGGAGGGGGAAGACGTTACAGAGCACGTGACAAGTCAGTGGTGTAGCTTGTTAGTGATGGTAAGTGAAGCAGAAGATAGATCAGTGGCCAGGGGATGGGGGGCAGGGCCATGGGAAAACCGTGCTGTCATTCCATATTGGGTCATAGGCCAGGCCTCCTAGGAGACCTGGTATGTGAGCAAGGACTTGAAAGAGGTGAGGGAGGAGAGTGGTCTGAGGCCACCTCTGAGCAGAGGGCAAGTGAGGTGGAGGAGAGTGAGGGGTACTGAGGGCAGGCCCCACCCTAGCAGCTGTTTCAGGAAGGTTGCACTGGGTGCTGTGTTGAGAGCAGGAAGAGAGCAGAGGTCTCTCCCGGCACCTTGGAGGTGGGTGTGTTAGGCAGTTTGGGCTGCTGGCCCCAGAGTGAGGACACACATCTAGGGTTGAAAGCCACTGCGACTTGGGGGTTCCTGGTGTGCAAAATCACCGCAGTCGTCTACCCAGTGCAGCCAGGCACGGGGGCCTGGGGTCCGAGTCTGGCCTGTGTGCCCCAGGAGGGTGCTCCAGGCTCCACTGCCACAGAGGACCTTGTGCCTGGGACGTGGTGGTCCTACTGGGGACCTGGCCCACAACCCAGGCATGTGCCCGAGACTTGTATCAAACCAGCAGCCCTTTGGTTCGCAGGCCAGTGCTCGATCCCGAGCCACAGCAGCCAGGACAGGACTCCGTGGTTCTAAAGCATGCACCTGGTGGCAGGGGGGAGAGGTGCCTTCTGGGCCACACGGGTGTTAGGCGCCTGCTGGAGGAGGGCAGAGCTGTCACTCGGAGCCCGGTGTGAGCCCCTCGGCAGCCCCTGCAGCAGGGAGGTGGGCAGGCAGGCTCGGAGCCGCAGGCATCGGGTGGTGCACCAGGACTTGCCCGCCCTTTCTCTGCCCCTCAGCCCAGAGACCCCTTGTGTGTGCCCAGGCAGGGTTGCCCGTGGCTGTGTTGGTGTCTGCTCTGGACAGCCACTCTCAGGGCCCCTGGAGGGTCTGAGGAGGGTCAGCAGACTCTTGGGGAGGGGTTGGGTGTGGGCCCCTGGGAGACACATCTGGGCACGTGCCACCTGCTCTCATCTCCACACTCGCCAGGTTCCGGGTGAAGGGTGTGCGGGGCATAGTGCTCTGCTAACCGGCCAGCGGCCGCCACTCCTCTGCCCACGAGAGGGCGCTGTTCCTCCTGTCACCTGGTCAGGAACAGCCCCTCAGGACGTGGTGGCCCTGGCTGTGCTACCCACAGCAACTCCCGGGCATTCCTTCCCTCTGAAGCAACCGAGCAGCCTGGAGCAGCACAGGCCTGCACTTCGTCCTGGGATGGGCTCTTCCCTTTCTCATACTGGAAGTTGAGAAAGACCCTTTCAGCTGCAGGGCACAGGTTTGCAGGCCAGCAGGGTGGGCCTCCTCGTCCATGTGCTCTAGCTCTGGGCATGGAGGACATTTTTACGAAGGGCCAGTGAATACTTCAATGTTCCAGATCGCGACGATTCTGTAAGCTCTGACACCACAGTCTGAAAGCAGACCGTGTTAACAAGCAGGCATGATTATGTTCCAAAAAAATTTTTTTCACAGGTGTGAAATTTTCATTTCCTGCATTACAAAGTACTTGTTTGCAACCGTTGAAAAACCATTCTTGTCCCTGGCCAGCTAGCTTAGTTGGTTAGAACACCCTGATAAACCAAGGTTGTGGGGTCAGTGCCTGGTCAGAGTGCCTACAAGAATCAACCAAAGAATGCATTAAAAAGTGGAACCACTACCTGGCGTTTCCCTCTTCCTCTCTAGTTACTGGCACTTTTTAAAATCCACCACACAATTTTTTTTTTTTTTTAAGATACTTATTTAGAGAAATAGGAAGAGAGGGAAACACTGATATGCAAGAGCTACTCTCTCATGCCCCAGCTGGGGTTTGATGCCCTGACTGGGAATCAAACCAGTGACCTTTTGGGTCACAGGCTGGCACTCAGTCCACTGAGCCACACCATCCAGGGCCCGAGGACATGTTTATTGCTTTTATAAAGGAAGGGAAAGAGAACATTGATTGGTTGCCTCCAGTATGTGTCCCAACCAAGGATAGAACCTGCAGCTTAGATATATACCCTGGCTGGGGTCAAACCCAGAAACTTTTGGTGTATGGAACAACGCTCAAACCAACTGAACCACCTGGCCGGGCGGGGGGGGGGGGGGGGTGTCCATTCTCTTAGCTCCAGAACCATACAAAACCAGCTGGCAGGTGGGTGGCAGCTCTTAACTGCTGTTCCTGCCTGGACCCAGTTCTTGGCATGCTGGTGTGGGCAGACCCTGCACGCCTGCAAGACTCCCTCGGGCTGGGGAGGTGCTGTCCACCCTCTTGTGGTAGATCACCATGAACCTGGGCTTGGGGGCAGATGCTGGCCTTGTACACCTCTGTACAGGGGCCATGCACAGAGAACGATGCACCTGGAAGATGACCTTTCAGTTGTGTTGAACTTTTTAGGTGTCTGCAGCAGCTTAGTAGTTAGTCCTGTCCTATGGTCTCTGACTTGACTTCAAAGCCTGGGAACTCCCCAAAGACATCATTCACTCAGCAAACAATTTCTGATTTGTGAGTGCAAGTCACGTACACTAGGGGCACAGGGGTGTGTAAACCCACCTGGGCTCTGCTCTCCCTCCCAACACTTGGTAAAGCTTCAAGGAACCTCAATATAGTTACTATCTAATGTCATAAGTCAAAAGTTTAATAAACGAGAATGAAAGCAATTTCAGGTCAAAATTATGTGTTTAATCCATTGACTCCAAAAGAGAAGTTCAAAGTATTTTAAAACCTACTCTGAAACAGTTCTGGAAATCCTTAAAATGAGTTTACTGTTATATTTACTGAAGCCCAATTTGGGAAACATAGCTTGAAAGTAGCACAGAATATTCCAAAATGTACACAGCCCCACGGCAGCCCACCGTTTCGTCCTGCCCAGTGACCCGCTGGTGACGCACACCTTTTCCACATGGACACAGCTAAGAGGCTGCTCCTCCTGTACCACAGCTGCTGTTCTCAACTGGAGTGCAGGACTTGGGGTGCTCTTGAATTCTCAGTTGTATTGCGACATTTAAGTAAACAAACCACACACTGGAATTTAACTTCAGTATGATTTCAAAGGTCACAAAATAGCATTTTGTTTAAAAATGTAAAAACCATTCTTAGCACTGCTAAAAGGTAAACTAAGGTATGTTAAAATTTCAGAGTTTACTTGAGCAAACACAGTTTGGAACCTGCTAGTGCTAAACCCAGCGCTCTGCGGAGGACGGCTGGGGAGAGGTTTTCAAAAAGATACAGAGGCAAAGCACAGAAACTGTTCAATCAGCTACAGCTCAAGCAGCTGGCTCACTTGGGAAGCCTGCCCGGCTGTGCCAGGCGCATCTGCCGGAACTGACGGGCTTAGCTTCTGGGCTGCCTGGCAGACTGAAAGCATTCAAGCCACCCAGTCTTGATGGCCTCGGTGTCTGGTTAACACACCACACAAAAGCAGAATGTGGACTGCGTCTGGCTCACAGGCCACAGTTCACCAGCCCTGGATCCAGGACCACACTGTCCAGAGACTCGGGTGCTGGAGCAGACCTAAGGTGGAAGGCTCTGCCTTCTTGCCAGGACCGCTGTTACTGTTAGGGGAAAGAAAGAGTATCCTGCCCAGGGTGGCATTTGGGGAGTCCATAAAACCCTCCACCCCTTAGTCCCTCATTACCAGGAGGAAGCCAGGGAGGCAGGGTCTGATGGAGAGGCCTCCCCAGTGCACGACAGCACTAAGTGTCAGGAGATGGCAGGGGGGTGGCCTATCCACTGAAGACCTTGACTCTCATCCTGTTCGATGGCCTAAAATGTTTAAGGCCCTTTCAGATTGGGCCCACCCATCCAGATGTGCCAGCAGGGACCACCTGGTTGAATATGGCAGCTGAGGTGGGGACACAATGAGGATAACCTCTGCAAAATACACAGAAGCGCCTGGTCTTCTGGCACTGACCACTCCAGGCACAAGTGCAGGAGCAACTGGAGAGGCAAGCACCCTGCCTTCATGCTGTCCTGGCACCAGGTGGGGGACAGCAGCAGCTAGCGATCAGGCTGACCAGCTGCAGGGTCCAGACTCCACCCATGTGTTGGAGAAACAAACTCACATGGACCCAATCATGTTCAACTCCACTGCTCCCAATTTCACCAGAAAGTTCTGGAACTTCCTGGCACAAAAACAGAGGAACCATCAAGCACTTCCTTCACCTGACACAATCCATAGCCTGCTACAGGCTCTGCCACGCACGGCGACTGAAGCGGCAAGGTCCTGGGGACCTGCCCGTGGGCTTAACCAAACCAATGTGATAGTGTCCCAAATCGTGTCCCAAGAGATCCTCAGGTGACCTCTGCCCTCTGGTCTACTTGTCCACATGTGGGATAAGTGAACCTCTTCACTGAGAAGGGGAGTCTCTTAAATATCACCCCTGTGACTATGGCAATGACTCCAAAGGTCAGCAGGTCTCAAGTGGGCGGCCCTGGGCAGCAGCCTCTCTGAACAGGACTCCTGGCCTCGGACTCGTTCACGGCTGGTGAATACAGGACCTTGGGCAGGGCTGGGGTCAGTGCTGCAGGTCTGCATCATTCTGTGGCTTCTGGGCCTTAACTAGGGGCTCTGTGAAACAAAGTGAATGGACATGGCCCCAACCTGTCCTTCCAATTCACCAAAGTGGCTGACCCATCTAAAAACTCAACTGGACCCTTGGTGGCTGCCTGCCTGGGCTGCTGATGGGGGAAGAAAAGGACAGAGGTGAAGGCAGAAGGAAATTCCAGTAACGCCTCTTCCGGACTTCTGTGCACGTGAGCTCACACATCCTTGGTGCTGAAGCCAGTCTGAGTAACTGGCGCTGGAGACATTGAGCGTCTCACATGGCGGAGCTCACGGGGCTTTTAGGCCTCTGCCGCAGACCCTGAGCTCTACATGTGGGCACCCTGATGCGAGAGACACAGGCTTTACTGAGTGGGGTAAGGTCAAACATTCCCACAAATAAAAGACATACTTTGTATGAACTTGGATGTCCTTTCTTAAAAGAACAATTTTGAATCTTTACCAACATTCCAACTTGTCAGTATCAATTATCCCATATAAAATAAGTAGGTTAAGGCTGTGGGTTTATTCCCACTTACATACAAGTACATTTACAGAGGTGTGTGGTCTATTCTATGTGAGTCTTCTGATGCTGAGTGAGCCTTGAGCTCCGATTAAAGGCTTTACCACATTCGTTACATTTATAAGGTTTTTCTCCGGTGTGAATCCTCTGATGTATAATTAAATGCGAGCGCCATCTGAATATTTTCTCGCATTCGTTACATTTGTGTAGTTTCTTTACAGTGTTAACTTTTTTACGGCTCACATGGGTAGAACCCTCCAGGGTGCCCCCATATTCATGGTACCACTGGGCTCGCGTGTGAATCCTCTGGTGCTCGATGAGGTATGAACTCCGACTGAAGGCTTTCCCACACTCACTGCATCCATAGGGCTTCACTCCAGCATGAATTATCTGGTGCTGGAAAAGGGTTGAGTTCTGACTGAAGGCCTTCCCGCACTCACCGCATTTATAGGGCCTCTCCCCAGTGTGAACCCTCTGATGGATGGTGAGCTGCGTGCTCATACTGAAGGCTTTTCCACACTCCAGGCACTCATAGGGCTTCTCCCCCTTGTGGATCCTCTGATGGTAAATGAGGCTTGAGCTCTGGCTGAAGGCTTTTCCACAATCGCTACACTCATAGGGCTTCTCTCCGGTATGAATTCTCTGGTGCTGAATCAGGTGGGAGCCCTGGACAAAGCCCTTCCCACACTCATCACATTTGAATGGCTTTTCTCCAGTGTGAGTTCTTTGGTGGCGAATAAGCCGTGAGCTACAACCAAAGGCTTTCGCACACTTGTTGCATTTATACGGTTTTTCTCCAGTGTGAGTTAGCTGATGCTGACTAAGGCGAGAGACCCACCTGAAAGCCTTTCCACACTCGTCACATTTAAACGGTTTCTCTGCAGCATGGGTTCTCTGGTGGGCAACGAGGCTGGCACCATCCAGGGTTCTTGGAACTGAAGGCTTCTCCCCCGCATGCATCCGCTGGTGCTGAGCCAGGGTCGAGCTCTGACTGAAGGCCTTCCCACACTCCTGGCACAGGTAGGGCCTCTCTCCAGTGTGAGTCCGCTGGTGTCTGACCAGCTGAGACTGCTGGCTGAAGGCCTTCCCACACTCACGACAGCCATAGGGCCTCTCTCCCGTGTGCACCCTCTGATGGTGGATGAGGCTGGAGCTCTGACCAAAGGCTTTCCCACATTCCTCACACCTGTAGGGCTTCTCTCCAGTATGAATTCTTTGATGCTGAATAAGTTTTGAGCTCAGGCGAAAGGCTTTTCCACACTCAATGCATTTGAATGGTTTCTCTCCAGTGTGGATTCTCTGATGCTGATTAAGCTGTGAACACAACCTGAAGACTTTCCCACATTCCTCACATTCATAAGGCTTCTCGCCACGGCAGTTACTTTGAGGTTTCCCCTGTGAACAATCAGATAACTTTTCTTGGCATTCCTGACACTGGTTAAGTTTCTTCTGTATGTTAACTTCGTGAGGCAGAACTGTGAATATGAAACCCCTGCCACACACATTGCATCTTCGGGATATCCCGTCTGCAGAACCCCCCTGGCTTTTATCAGGCTGACAACCCAGGCCGCCACAACCCTGCACATCCTCCTTGGCAGAGATCTTCCTGGGAGCCACAATCCCTGTGTGCAAGCAGTGTTTCTGGAAGAGAGAGCTCGGCTTACTCTCTGGCCAGACCTCAGAAACAGAGGTATCTGCAAAGCAGGGACTCTGAGGAGAATCACGTGGTGGGGTTTTGACCATTGCTGCCAGGGACTCTGATTTCAGTATGTACACATCCTCACGGGCCTGCTCACCATCAGTGCTAAATGCAGAATCTGAAACACAGGAAGAACAAGGCTCCTTCTCCCGAGCTCAGAGAAAGGTCAAAGGCTGGGGTGGAGGTACTCCCCAGGAACTGTGCTCCCTCCCCGGCCACCCCACATGCAAAGACACCATGGAAAGTTGACACCTTTGACAGTTCTCAATTGGTTTCATTCATGGTTTTTGCTTTACACATTCATTCAACCATAGTGTACTCAGCTGAGTGTTGATAGCCACCCTCCCACAAGGAGACTACATCAGCAGACGTTCTTCCTCTGGGGTAACTGTGTGAGGAAAAGTCCACAAAGAAAATGACCTGAAAGGAGGGGGTGGGGTTGGTGAGAGGCAGGATGAGCCTGACAGGTCGAAGGAGATAGAGACTAAGGAAGAAAGAGGGAGTTTACACTATAAGCAGAGGGACGAATAGGTGCTGATAAAGTCAAGGCAGAACTATTAAGGGTGATACAAGGGTGAGCCCAAAGGGCTGGGCCTGTCCCCTGAGTGGGCTTCTGAGCAAGACCCAAGGTCTGAAATCCACCTCCTCCGGCAGCCAACCAGCTACTCCCCCCAACTCACACCTGACCGTGTGGCTTGCTGGTCTGCCCCTCACCTTCCGCATATGAATGTCTCCTCGCTGTGCATTTCTGGGGGTTCTACCTACCCCGCCTGCCCCCACAAGGCCTTCCTGACACCAACTTTCCCTCTGGACCCTCGACAAAGGCGTCAGTCTCCTTCCTACTCTGCGATCCCAGGAAGCACCTTTGCTGAAGTCAGACCCCGTTGTCCCTCATCACATCCAGGCCGTAATCAGCCCAGTGCTGTTCCACAAGGAAACCCAGGGCCCCGTAACAGGGCTCCGCCGGCTCCTCACACCAGCGCTGTCACCATCCAGCGGCGGCAACCCCCGTCCCTCAGTTCCAGCACTTGGAAGGGGCTGCTGCAGAGAATCTGTGCACAAGGACAGTTCCTGCTCCCTCCTCCACTGGTCTGCATGACAACCCAGTAAGACCAGTAGTGGATAAGGGGCTCGTGGTTCAGAGAAGTCAAGTCACTCACCCATGGTCGCACAGCTAATGAGACTCAGGAATGGACCGAGATCTGTTCCCCCAAACACATACCCTTTCAACATCTCTGTGCCCTTAAGACGTGGGACATCTCCTGCGCGGTCCTCACTATTTCTCTTTCTCTGCACAAACACAGCCTCGGCCAACCTGCTCCTTCAGCAGGGCAAGAGCAGCTACAGAGCTAGAAAGCAGACAAGCACTGCTGCCCTCTGACTGCTGCTTCCGTGCAGAGCCCCCTAGGAACAGCCGTGAAAGAGCAGCCGGGACGCCTGCACTGCTGGCCCAGCCACAAGCCCTGTGCCTCCCGCTGCGCTTCAGTGGCCACAGCCACACCGCAAACCTACCCAGCTGCCCTGGAGTCCACCTCCCTCTGTCCTGTAGCCACGTCTGTAAACAGCAGTTACACTAGGAAGGCCTCGCCATGTCCCCAGCACCAGCCCACAGCCAGCGGCCTGCCTGGCTCAGAGCACACGCCCTTCCTCCTCTCAGGCCCATGGGACACCCTCACACAGCACGGCCCGTCTCTTTTTGGCCCCACTTGCCAGGGACCACTCCTCTGACAAAGACCCTGTTCTAACCAGCCCAGCCAAGCTTCCCTGAGCCTTGCTCAACAGGCCTCTCCCTGGGTCTGCAGACAAAACACCAACAGGGCTTGTAACAGCTCAAGGCCACACCCGCCTCTCAAAGCACCTGCCTGAGAAAACTGGAGGATGCTGGTTCCAGCCACGCCCAAGGGCTGAGCTGGTCAGGAAGTCCCGGTGGTGTCAGAGGGACCTGACTCTCCCCTTCTCGGATCCTCCTGGGAGCCCCTGCTTGCTCTCTCACCTCAGGGCACGTGGAAGCTTCTGGAAGCTGCGTTAGTGCTTGGCGAACTCTGACCTATTGCAGTCCTCACCACTGCAGCTAGGACTCCTCCCACGGAGCCCCAGGGGGCCTCCTGTCCTGGGAGCGGTGGCCATGTCCTGCAGCTGCAGGCCCTGCCCTCTCCCACCTCCCAGAGGATCCTGGGATATCAGCTGCACCAACTGTCAAAATCACATCCTGGGCATTTACAGTTCCCAACATGTTCCACAAATTTTCATCCACGAGGCTGTCCTGTGTGCTCAGGCCCGCAAGCAGCTCTAGGTCTCATCACAGGGATGTCTCCTGTCCCCTAACCACTAGGAAGGCCATTAGCTGCGTGTGAGCCACTAAGGAGCCCAGCCCATCCTGCGGGCTCTCCTGCCAGTGTCCTCTTCGAAACCTCCCTCCACCTTGGAAATGTTTACTGGGGGCTGGGTTTTTACCGAGCTGGTCTCTTTACTCCTTCCCAAGAAAGGCCAGAAAGGAGCCTGAACGGGAAGACCCCTCTTATGGTCTGATTGTGCTCCCGAAAGGTGAGCTGAAGCTCCAGCCCAGGGTCTCAGAATATGAACTCATTTACAAAAGGACCCTACAGATGTAGTTAGTTAAAGTGAGGCCACACTGAAGTATGGAAGACCCTAACCCACTGTGAGTGGTGTCCTCAGAGAGATATGGGGATGCCTGGCTGGTGTGGCTCAAGGGATTGAGCACCAGCCTGTGAACCAAAGGGTCGCTGGTTCAGTTCCCAGTCAGGGCACAGGCCTGGGTTGTGGGCCGGGTCCCAGGTGCGGGGCACATGAGAGGCAGCCACATGCTGATGTTTCTCTCCCTCTCTTTCTCCCTCCCTCCCTCTCTCTGAAAATAAATAAATAAAAATAAAAATTTAAAAAAGAGAGAGACAGACGTGGGGAGAGAGCACTGTGACGACGGAGGACTGAGATGGTGTGGCCACAAGCCAAGGAACATCTGGGGCCACCAGAACCTGGAAGAGGCAGGAAAGAGCCTTCACTACAGGTTTCAGAGGGGCCACAACCCTGCCAACGCCTTGAGTTTGGGCATCTGGCCTCCACTGTGTGATGATTTGTCACAGCAGCCCCGGAGCCGGATCAGAGAGGCTGGGGTCGCCCAGGGTCCTGAGAAGTTCTGGAGGGAGCGCAGCTGTCCCCGGGAGGCTGCTCAGAACCAAGCTTACTGCTCTCCTTGCATCCATGTTTCTTATTTCTGCTTGATGAGAGTGTTGGTAAGATTAGAAACTGAATAAAACGTGCTTTCAAGCAAACTCGTGTACTGATCCCTGGGGCCTACCTCCCCAGGCACAGGTTCTCTGCCACAGCCCCACACCTCACCTGTCTGGGGGATCCTTGGCGCCTCTCTCCCCTCAGTTCCCTGCAGGTCGAGGACCCATGGCTCCTCCCCTTGCTCCAGCCGGGAGATCAGCTCAGGCTTGAAGAGCAGAAATCCTGCTGTCAAGGTGACAAAGGAAAAGTACATTGGCATTGCCAGGAACACAGCTCAGGGCTCAGTGCCCCCTGGTTTCCAGGAGCGAAGGGGTGGGGGGCTGCTGGGGCGCAGCCAGGGTCTGCGGAGGGAGCATCATGGGGTGAGGGTCTGGGCACAGGGGCCCTCTGTCTGGTTCAGCCCAGCTCTGGGGGCTGGACACTGAGCGATGCCTGGACTCCCAGCTGATCTCCTTCTGCTTCAACACCAAGATCCCCAGAACACCCTGCCACCCAAGAGTTTGCCAAGAACAGGCTGCTCTACACTAGGAAGAGAAAAGTCAGGCACCACCAGCGCACCCCTCAGTGCAGGTACAATCCAAAAGGTAGGGATTAAGAAACAAGACAAGAGCATTTGAAATCTTGCTTCTCTGCATATGTCATCAGTTTGTCTCAAGTTAACTGTTTCTTGTTGTCGTTGTTGTTGTTGTTGTTTTAATGCCCTGGCCTTGTAGCTTAGTTGGTTAGAGCCCTGTCCCTATACAAAGGAATAAAATAATAAAGGCAAGGCAAGATTCAATGGGATAAAGAAACAAGGACCTTCCACACACACACCATCCCCCAAAAGTTGAGCAAAGCCAAAAGCTGGCTCTTTGAAAAGATGAATAAACAATCTTGGGGCAAAACTGTTCAAGATACTGCCAAAAACTCACATAAGGGAACAGCTACAACACAACAGAGATTAAAAATAAAGATGAAGAATATTATAAACAGATACATGCTAAAAACTGAATATCCAAATGGAGAGACTGACACGTAGGAAAACTAGAAAAGACAAAAGTGGCAGAAGCAGAAATTCAGAGGCTTGTGAGACCATCAAGCGTGACAGAAAGGACAGGCTTCCCCCAGGGCCCAGGTGGCTTTACAGGGAGTTCTACCAAATACTTGGAGGGCTCAGCTCTGGCTGGTGTGGCTCAATGGCCTGAGTGTCAGCCTGCGAACCAAAGTGTTGCCGGTTCGATTCCCAGTCAGGCACATGTCTGGGTTGCGAGACAGGTCCCCAGTAAGGGGTGCTTGAGAGGCAACCACACATGGATGTTTCCCTCTCTTTCTCTCTCCATTCCCCTCTCTCTAAAAATAAATAAAATCTTAGGGAAAAAAAAAACAAACTTGAAAGGTTCAATTCATTCCATCCATATAAATTCCTCCAGAAATTAGAAAGATAGCAAAAGCGTATTTCTCCTTTGGACTCTACTTCTTCACAGGGAGGCTTATTACCTCCCAGAAGTCGACGTACCCTGTGAGGATTAAACCGTGTGACACGAGCAAAGCTGGGGGCCTGCCTGGCTCAGCACAACCCGCCCCGGGGTCGGGGCCTGACCACTCGGCCTCCGTGTCCCCAGCTCAGACAGAGGCTTGAGTAGGTGGGCGCTGACTGATGCCGCGGGGGCAGGTCCCGAGCTACAGCCTCACCTAGTCCGGCCACACTGCTGTGGTTCTCCAGCATCACCTCCTTGTAGAGGGCCCTCTGGCCAGGGTCCAGACACTGCCACTCCTCCCGTGAGAAGTGCACAGCCACGTCACCAAATGTCACAGCCTCCTGAAAGGACACACACCAGCACCTCAGGGACCCCTGGGTGGCAGTTCCAACCTGGTATCACCTCATGCTGTGTCTCACATACATGCACCAGAGTTGAGTGAGACAGTCACCAGGCCCCTTTGGCTCTAAACTCACGGGGAAGGGCGGTCGGGAGGATGGGAGGGACCCAGGACATGGAGCTACAACCCACCGCCCCCCACCCCGAGAACCTCAGGCCAGGCAGCCCCAGCCTGGGCAGAGGTTTGCTCACTACTTTGAAGATGGGCACGCCGGCGTCCGGCAAGGGCCACAGGGGTAGGGGCAGCCAGGCCCAGGCCCGGGGGCAGGGTAGGAATCCAGGGGAGGAGGCAAGGCCCTCACAGGACAAGCGAGGGCATGGAGGGCCGTCAGACTCCTACCATGAGGCTCGGTGCATGAGCATCCATGTGTCCTGGCCAGCAGACCTGTTGACAATTATGAAAAGGACAGAGGTCAGGATGATGGAGGCTCCCCACCCCTGACTTCCAGGCCAATCCAGGGAGCACAGTGTTCTCTAGTCCTTTACCTCCACCCCCAGATATTCTCTGGGGGGGGACACAGGGCGGAATCAAAGCTGCCACAGCACTTGAGCATCTGCCCCTGAGGCTTCGTTCATTTCTCAGTGGGTGTGGTGCTGTGAGTCACTCCACGAACACTTAAGGGATGGTTGCCTGTGTGCCAGGGGCCTGAGCCAAGCAATGTGATGAAAATCCCTCAACAATGCACAAGGTGGGAACAATGCACAAGGACTCTGCCTTCATGAAGTGGTCTAGTAGAAGAAAAAGTTAAATAGACACACAAATGCAGAATTACAACCACGGTGGCATCAAAGCACAAGGAACTCTGGAAGCATTTAAACTAAGAAACCCTGACTCCGCCTGACGGGTCACTTCCCTGAGGAGGTAACTGGGCCCAGAAAATGCAGGTGGGGAAGGCACGCCCGGCAGCAGGTACAGCGTGAGCAAAGGGGCTGAGGCAGACGGGCTGGGCTGCGTGCGCGGCGGGGCTGGATCCCAGGCAGCAAGAAGCGTGTGACTGGAGACTGGAGTAGCCAGGCACCTGACAACGAGCCTTTGGGAAAAGAGGAGTGGAAACAGAAATCCCTGTACGTACACGTGGCCCCCCTCCCCATGTGTCCGCCGGGTAGGTCAGAATGAGGAGTGGGCTTCCTAGCGGAGCTTCTGGGTCAGAAAGTGGCTTGCAGGCGGACGCCCCAGTTCATGTGCGCAGCGAGGCTGACCGGGCAGAAGTGACCACCGTCGAGTGGGCCCCCACGGCCTTGCCGGGAGGGGGCAGCTGCTAGCGCTAGATCCGGGTCCCCGACAGAGAAGGGCAGGCCCTGAGCAACAGCCAAAATTCAGAGGCGGCAAACTTCCTACCCACGCAAGACACAGCCCTTTCAGCCACTGTCACTAAGTCTAGGTCTTTCAGGGCCAAAACTGGGGTAAAAGAGGGCCCCCAACGGGGGTGGAGGGTCCCTCTGGAGCCGGCTGGCGGGAAGGCCGCGCTGGAGAGTGCAGGACTCGGCCAAACGCCTCCCGCCTCCGCGGGCAAGGCGGCCGCGGCTCCATCGCCTTCCCCGCCAGGCGCTCACGGCCCTCCAGGCCGCCCGGGCCTCCCGAGCTTCCCCGCCTAGAGACCAGGAGAGCGCGAAGCCCGCACTGCGGGAGACGGGTGGACACGGAGGCCCGCCGTGGGCGTTCCAGCTGAGGACGCGGCCACCGCCCCAACTCACCCCCTTGGAGGACCGCCGGAGGCTCGAAACGCGCGACGACGCAGGAAACGGGCCTCGACGCCCGCGCCCGCTCAGCCCCACCGACTTCCGGCCCTTCTGAGCGGCTTGGAGGCTCACCGTCTCGGTGGTTCCCAGCCCCGCAACCCGGGCGCCGGAGAAGGGGCGGGATCAGAGCGAGGGGAAAGGGCACAGCCCTGGGAGGGCGGAGCAGACGTCTGAAGAGGGGCGGGGCCACAGCCTGGGCGGTCCAAGCCCAGGGAAGGGGCGGGGCCGGAGCCCTTAGGATGGGGCGGGGCCGGAGCCCGTAGGATGGGGCGGGGCCGGAGAATAGATGAAATTGACTGTTTTTGGGGGTTTTTTTTTGTTTGTTTTTTTTCCAGAGTACGGTTATTAAAACTGGGGACAGTGAAACAAGGAAGGGCTTAGGACTGAAGAAGCAACAGGAAAGAACCTTAGCGGGGCTGCCTTGACTCACTGGAAAGTCAGAGAAAAGGGGGCCTTGGAGATAGGTTCAAGGGGTGAGCCCTGCCCAGACTTTTGCTGCCAATTAGCCCTCTGGTTACAAGTCTCATGGGATCCCAGAGTTGAGGAGATGCACGCCTGAAAGGGAAGAAAACGGGGAAGGGAAAGGCCTGGGCATCCTCCCTGGAGAGAGAGCGCGCTAAAATTGGCTGTTCAAAAAAAATTCTGTCCCATGCTGCAACATGGATGAACGTTGAGGGCATTATGCTAAATGGAATAAGACATTCACAAAAAGACAAATGCTGTATGATTCCACTTATATGAGGCATCTGGAGTAGTCAAAATTACAGAAACAAAAAGTAGGATGATTATTACCAGGAGCTGGGGGGAGGGGGAGGGGTGGTTATTGTTTAATGGGGACAGAGTTTCAGTTTTGCAAGGTGGAAAGTGTTCTAGCCCTGGCTGATGTGGCTCAGTGATCACTGGCCTGTGAACTGAAAGGCCACCGGTTTGATTCCCAGCCAGGGCACATGCCTGGGTTTTGGGCCCGTTCCCCAGTTGGGGCCGTCCAATGTTTTCTTCCCTTTCTTTCTCCCTCCTTTACTCTCTTTCTAAAAATAAATAAGTCATATCTTTTTAAAACAGAAAAGAGTTCTAGAAATTATCGGTAATGATTGTTGTGCAACAATTTGAATGTACTTAGTACCACCAAACTGTATACTTAAAAGTTGTTAACATGCTAAATACGTTATGTGTACTTTCCGACAATAAGAAAAAAAAGGGGGGCGGGGAAGCCCTGGCTGGGCACCTCAGGTTTTAGAATGTCATCTTGTTACATCAATGTTGCAGGTCCGATCCCTGGTCAGGGAACAGACAGGAATCAATCAATGACTGCATATATCAGTGAAACAACAAATTGATCTCTCTCTCTCTCTCTCTCTCTCTCTCCCCCCCTCCCTCCCCCCTCTCCAATTAATCAACAACTTTTTCAATGGGAAAAAGTCAGGATTGAAAGCTGGGTTTTTTTGTTACCTCATCCTTTCCTTCTCACCACCCCACTGCTTGTAACCACTACCTTCTTTCAAACTCTCTGAAACTTACCACCTTTATCAGCTTCCTTCCCCCAGGTCCATATGATAAGAAAGTCCTTTCAATGGAAGGAACCCTTGGCTGTGTGGCACGTTTGTCCTCAACAGTCCCATGAGATGAAGGGCACAATCACCCAGATTATGAGGTGGTAGTACTAGGATTCCTTCCACCTGGGCCTGACCCCAAATCACTGTGCCCTCACCTGCCCCCCCAAGATGACCTCCAGAGCCTCCAGATCATTCCCATTCCTTCAGCAGAGGCTGACCCCCTGGTCACTATCCACTGTCCTAGAATTAAGCCTTCCCATGGACCACTAACCACCCATAATTCCTACCTTCTCTTCCTGGTTTCTTTTTCCTATTTCTTTACATTGAGGACAACTTGAGAACTTTCAAATTCACAGACATTGATGTGAAACTGAACACTCCTTGTTACTTCACCGTTTCCATTAATTCAGAAAAGAAAAGATGGTATCTGCCACTCTGGGTTTTTTATTTGTTTGTTTGCTTTCTCCAGTGGGGACTGATGAGGAGAAAGCAACTCTAAACTCTGTGAGCCTGTACGGCTGGTGGGTGCAGATCTAGAGGGAGAGACTCTGGAGCCCGTGTTTGCTTAAGTGCAGGACCACGAGGTCAGATCCCCGGTGGGGGACCTCCTTAGCAATGCGGGAGCCATTCCCAGGAGGGAAGAGTGACGAAGTAGGGACACCAGTGTAGGACAGAAAGTCTGGGAATTGAGACAGGCGTCGTTCTTTGTCAGCCACTCAATCACACTGTGGGGAGGAGCCCAGGAACATGGTTCCTGGGCCGCAATGTCCAGGATGTTCAGACGTAATGAAACCCAGGAGACTTCGTGTGTGTCTGCAGCACAACTGCACAGCTCGTTCGTGAGCTACAGGTTCCGAAATCCGTCACTGGAATCCGCAGGTAGAGAAAGGCAAGGAGGTCGTGCGGAGTGTGGCAGCACCACAGAGAGGTTCGCGGGTGATTGTGGGGACAGGGGCCGGTGGGGGGCGACGCTGGCCGCCCTGGCCCTTCCCTACTGACTGCGGCTCGAGATGAGACCTGTACTCACCCAGGACCATGTATCACCAGAGGGAAGACCCAGGAGCAGTTATCAGCACTCACGGCTGTCACAGAGTCACCGGATCCTCCTCACCATGGACCTGTCTACGGCCCTGCGGATGCGGGTACCGGCCCAGGCGCGGCAGGTGTGGGCCTGGCGGAGTTCAGCACCGCAGACAGCGCCCAGCGGCCTCGCAGGCGGAGGTGGGCGGGAACACGGAGGCTCGATCCGGAGGGAGGGTTTGCTCCGGCCCCACGGGCAGCGCAGGAACTTGGGGAACACGGGGAGAACGTCAGGGCAAGGGCTGCTTTTCAGGTACGCAGTGTGAATGAGGTGTTTCCAAGGGAAGGAGAGCAGAACTAGCGGCATTGGTCCGGCGAAGGGCTGCCTCCCTCTCCCATTTGCTCCTCCGGGCTCCTCCCCTCCGACCTCTGCACCCAGTCTCCAGGGCTTCTGGCTTGCAGCTGGGTTTGACCAAGGAAGCCCCGACAGGAGACTGGACTGTGGGAAGGGAGTGAGGCCAGAGACCTGGATCTCTTGAACGCTGAAGCCTTGCAAAACCTCCAGCCCTGGGCTCTGACTGGTGTAGCTCAGTGGGCTGAGTGCCGACCCGCAAACCAAAAGATTACCGATTCGATTCCTGGTCTGCCTGGGTTGCGGCCCAGGTCCCCAGGTGCAGGCACGCGCGAGACAACTGATAGATGTTTCTCTCCCTCTCTTTCTTCTTCCTTTTCCCTCTCTCTAAAAAGAAGTAAATACAATCTTTTATAAAAGGGAAGAAGGTGTTCTTGCTGCATTACTACATAAAACAGGCTGTAATCAGGAAAATAAACTTGGGAGCACATACCCCAGCATATGAACCCTAGTTTATTTCTGGGTCCTGGAATTATGGGTTGTTCTTATTTTTCTTCCATTTTTATGATTTTGCCAAGACTTAGTATTTAATGACAAATGGGCGTTGCCTCTTTGAGGAAAAATTATTTAAAAGCCAATACATAGAATCATGCTCTAGCCAAGTGTTCTCAGAGCAGGCCCAGGTCCTGGTCTGCACAGCCCTCCCTGGACAGATACTTGACCTCTTGTGCTTTCGTGGAAGCATCCTTTTCTGTGGGGCTTGATCTTCCTAAGTTGCTCCCACTTTATAAGGTGACATCCCCTTTAGGCATCAGTTAACAGTAAGTCTGCAGTTATGCTGTGAGGTGACATCAGGCAGGAGAGCCCTTGTAACATGTGAGAGTATAAAGGGCGACGTGGGTGATCTGGGAGGCTCAGTGGGTCAGTTTGCCTGCATTTGCAGAGAAGAGCAGAACCACACCACGGCCAGCCAGCCCCCACTGGGATGTTGTCCAGGACAGCCTGTGGGCAGGACCTCCCTGCAACCTTGCTTCTGGCTCTGCTGACAGCTATGCTGTCCTCTTTACTCTGACAAAGCAACAGAGTGTGTCAGAGGACAAGAATCTTGGGGAAGGCTCCTGCCTCGACTCCTCAACACACACCGCCTCCACTGCTAGGAGGGGTAATATGCTGCATTGACTCCTGTCCTATCAGGAGAGAACATGGACTTAGGGAGGGGAAGCCAGGTTAGGGGGTGGGGGAGGAACCTACTTTTAGTTCTACTTTTGGAACTAGGAAATAAGTCTTTAGTCAGATTGAAAGAGTGGTGGTGGAAAAGAATGGAACAGTGGACAATGATAACAAAACATCAGATTTCTGCTCAGAGTGACAGAAGAGACAATATCAAGGGGAGTGTTAATGTAGACGAAGCATTGGCCTGACAGTTCTCCGCCGAAAACGAGGATGCAGGGGGCTGGCCAGCCACCACCTGCTGATCTGGAGCAGGTTCACTCAGATGCTTGCAAGCGTGAGGCCGAGGCGGCCGCCAGCAAACACAGGGGCTCATTCCCTCCAGCCTCAGCTCTGCACGACTATCCCAGACTTGTGACAACAAACACTTAAAGAACACTTTAAAAAATTCATTGATTTTAGAGGGATATAAAAACATGGATTCGTTGTTTCACTTATTTGTCCTTTCATTACTTGATCCTTGTATGTGCCTTGACCAGGGATCGAACCCACAATCTCCGCTTATCGGGATGATGCTCCAACCAAGCCAGCTACCTAGCCAGGACCAAGGATGATTTTTAAATGGCTGCAAACCCTCCACCCGGGCCCGGCCGCAGGAAGACCTCGCCGCGGGAGGGCGGCCCGCGGGCCAGATCTCTGCACCTTCGGGACTTGGTGAGCCTGCCCACTCTAGGGCTCCTGCGCGGAGGCCCGAGCGACGGGGGAAGACTACAAGTCCCGGCGTGCACTTTGCTCGCGGTCATGGCGCCCGCCCGGAAGTGAGAGTGGCGTTTGGCCCGCCCCGGAAGATAAGGCAGGTCTCAGGCGCTGCGGATTCTTTTTCGGCCGCGCTAGGCAGCAGGTAGGAAGTGTTTGGGGAATGGCCGGCCCGGT